ATTTGTCATGTGCTCGTTTTTCATGTACTGCAACTTCACAATAAGCTACAAAAAATCGACATGTCTTGCCTCGCCCATCACCTCGCGGCAATGAACCGTGGGCTTGAATATATGCATTATACATATTTAATATGTTCATTTACATATCATCTTCGGACAAACGCCAGTATATTGTCAAAAATAAATGTAAAATTCATAAAAACACCCTACTTTCGGTTTTGCAGCGTACCCTCATGGCACAACATATGCTTTTATTTGCGTTAATCGTTAAATAGGTATGTAATATTTCTTACTTTTATGTAAATATTACAAACTTAACGATTAACGCAAATAAAAGCATATGTCGTGCCTTGTGGGTACGTATGTGTTAAAAAATGAGAGGGTACCTGTGATATAAAAATTCAAATGAAGAGAGGTAGCCCGTGCCGCTGCAAAAGAAAAAAAGGCAAAACTGTCTAGTCTGACAGACTAGACAGTTTTGACATTTTATTATTTTTTTTTTCTCAGAATCAGCTGATTTTGGCAGCAGTTTCTTCAGTTTTAAGCTGACACTGTGAACAAGAACCTAGGCCGTATTCATAAAGCATCTTAGTGAATAATTTCATTTTAGTGAAAAAAGACATTTTTTTGGACAAGTTGAATTGAAAAAATCTAACGTGTGTACAAAATTAGTTTGAAAATAGGCAAGAAAATGTCCTAATTAATAAAAACACATTAAAAATGTTATGGATGGTCACAGGTATTGGAAATAAGCCATGTCAAAATTTAAGAACTTTTCAAGGGTATGAAATATTTTAATTAGAAGTTTTTTTATGGCCCAAGCACTTTGAACAATGTTGAACAACTGTTCTATTTTATAATTATTTTGTTGATGAAAAAAAAAATTCTAAAACCATTGATTTGGAAATGTGCAACTTGTCATTGTCAGCTGGAAATATAATTTGACCTACAGAGTTTCATTAATAAATATAAAAATTGGTTAAATCGTTTTGTATATTTTCTCCATGAGTGCAAATGGAAATTTTAAAACAAAGAGACGTAACTTGGTAAACTGAATCCGAACCGCAATACGGACTTTACCGAGAATATAACTGTAGCGCCACCTGTTAGCATAATTTGGGTGTCACATATTATTACACCAGATGTCGCGTTGTATTATGCTTGCTGCATTCGGCTTTCGGCTATGCGCATTCTACCTTATGACATTCGTCATTCAAGCTGAGTAAATAGACCCAAATTCAAACAGTTGCAGGTTAATTTATTGAATTAATATACCAGATCAACAAATGAATAATAATTGATCGTTAAATAACGACATCAACATAAAATTAAGTCGCACACAGCAGAAAGCATAATGTGCATTTAAGAAAGCAACATGTAAAAGTCAGACTGCAACATGTAAAAGTCAGACTGCAAGATGTATATAATAGAATGCATAATGTACAAGTTAGAAAGCACGATGTACAAGTTAGAAAGCACGATGTAACGTAAGAAAGCAAGATGTAATTTTGGCATAAATCACCCTCCATAGTGCAGGCTGATAGATATTCTTGTGATAAATAGTATCCTTTTGTATAAATTAGCGAATTACAAAGAATCCGAAAATAACGTACAAAACGACGAAATTGAAAATGTTGCAGGCTCGGTTTTATTCAGCCTGTTCATGGAAGTTAATGAAAAGTGTAAGTTACCGTCCATGCCCCATCACACTGGCTTAAGCATTATTCATTATTTAACATGAAATGGTAAAAATTAATAAATAAGAAACATCCATTGATGTGTTCATACGGTGGTTATCAAAGAACCTTCATATGACGCATTATTGCCATTCCATGAAAAGCGGATTATTGTCCCCAAGTGAAAGAATTCGTGTAAACTAACGTTAAAACAATGGAATTTAAATTTTGATAGGGGATCAGAGGCTATGGAGCCTGCATATAGCAGATAAGCTATCATAAGACACATTTCAAAGCAGGCCTAATATCCTATGGGTGATTAAACAGTATTCAAGTGAGGAATACTGAAATCACTCAGCTAAAAATTGCCGAACTAAAAAACAACAAGCACAACAATAATGTCGTGTTGAAAGTTCTTTAAGGATCGGAGATATACATCTATGGAAGAGTATTTGCGCAAACATTACATGTTGCATTTTTACGTTACATTGTGCTTTCACATCTTGCATTATGACATGCACATTTTGCCTTAAATTGCATGAATCGTTCGTTATTTGACTAAAATTAGTTCAGTTTAATTATAATGATCGTAAACTGTCTACATTTAATGTGTACAAAAATAGGAAACCTATGTTAATCGATTATACATATATAAATAATACATGGAAGCACGCACTGTGTGCAATACAACAAGGCAGGTTGAAAACTACACCCTTTTTTACGACAGAGGGCGCAAGTTCGGAAACATGTACCGAACCATACGGAAACTAACGAAAATATACAAGTATCCGAAATATCGATCACAATAGTTATGTCCCTCATTTGCAATTAAGCCATAATCTTATTTGCTACGGTTGATGTCATGTGGTTGATTTTTTATTATCTGATCATTTGTTAAGTTTTTTCATGGTCCTAGCACTTTGAACAACTGTTCTACTTCATAATTATTCTGTTGATAAAAAATAATTCTAAAATCATTGATTTGGAAATGTGCAACTTGTCATTGTCAGCTGGAAATATAATTTGACCCACAGAGTTTTAGTAATAAATACAAAAGTTGGTTGAATCGTTTTGTATATATGTTTACCTTATTTCCTCCATAGTGGAAATGGAAATTTTAAAACGAAGGGACGTAACTTGGTAAACTGAATCCGAACCGCAATACGGACTTTACCGAGAATATAACTGTAGCGCCACCCGTTAGCATAATTTGTGTGCCACATATTATTACACCAGATGTCGCGTCGTATTATGCTTGCTGCATTCAACTTTCGGCTATGCGTCATTCTACATTATGACATTCGTCATTCAAGCTGAGTAAATAGACCCAAATTCAAACAGTTGCAGGTTTAGTTAATGAATTAATATACCAGATCAACAAATGAATAATAATTGATCGTGAAATAACGATATCAACGTACAATTAAACAAGACGCACACAGCAGAAAGCATAATGTGCATGTAAAAAAGCAACATGTACAAGTCAGAATGCAAGATGTACAAGTCAGAATGCAAGATGTACAAGTCAGAAAGCAAGATGTACAAGTAAGAATGCAAGATGTACAAGTCAGTATCCAAGATGTTCAAGTTAGAAAGCACGATGTAACGTAAGAAAGCAAGATGTTATTTTTTTGCGTTAATACCCTTAAATATACATCCCTGGCTAAATGTACGGGGCGACACTATGGTCCCAAGATAAAAGAATTTGTGTGCCCTAAACAAGAAATAATCGATATCCCTATATGTCAATATTTATGAAAACTGATAATGAAAGGAATAGCAAATTCAACCTATATAAAGCATAATACAGAAAATATAAAAGAAACAAGATATGTTTGTAAAACATGTATACCCCCTATCGGCAGCCAATTAGTCATGTGATCAGGTTATTATGCATGACTTCTGACCCAGTGAACAAAAATTAATAAGGGTAATCTAGTATCTACTGGTCATGACTAGTCACAAGGTAATAATTATTGTGACCCCATAGGTTGTGTGCAGCAATTTAAGTTATTACAAATCTTACCAAATAATATATGCATAATTTTTATGAATCATGTAGGCCTCATTAATGACAGCCAAGTTTTTATGTTACATAAGACCTTCAAATGTGTATACCAAAAGCTTTTTTAGTTTAATATAAAAATATCAACCAAGGCAACTTGAGTTCTTGAGTTATTAGTCAGAAACCGCCATTACGTACAAGGTCAATATGACACTAACCCCTTGACCCAAAAATCAATAGGGGTCATCTACTGGTCATGACCAATCATCATACCAAGGTTGAAGTTCCTAGGCCTAAGGGTTTTTTAGTTATTGATCGGAAACCGTTTTTACCTACAAGGTCAATGTGACCTTGACCTTTGACCCTTTGACCCAAAAATCAATAGGGGTCATCTGCTGGTCATGTCCAATCATCATACCAAGTTTAATGTTCCTAGGCCTAAGCGTTCTTTAGTTATTGATCTGAAACCGTTTTTACCTACAAGGTCAATGTGACCTTGACCTTTGACCCCTGACTCTAAGATCAATAGGGGTCATATGCTGGTCATGACCAATCATCATACCAAGTTTGAAGTTCCTCGGCCTAAGCGTTCTTTCGTTATTAATCGGAAACCGTTTTTACCTACAAGGTCAATGTGTCCTTGACCCCTTGACCCCTATATCAATATTGGTCATCTGCTGGTAATGACCAATCACAATACCAAGTTTGAAAGTCCTAGGCCTAAGCGTTATTTAGTTATTAAGCGGAAACCGTTTTAACCTACAAGGTCAATGTGACCTTGACCTTTGACTCCTTGACTCCAAGATCAATAGGAGTCATATGCTGGTAATGACCAATCGCAATACCAAGTTTGAAGTTCCTAGGCCTAAGCGTTCTTTAGTTATTGATCAAAACCGTTTTTACCTACAAGGTCAATGTGACCTTGACCTTTGACCCCTTAACCCAAAAATCAATAGGGGTCATCTGCTGGTCATGACAAATCATCATACCAAGTTTTGAAGTTCCTAGGCCAAAGGGCTCTTCAGTTATCACTCGGAAACCATTTGGTCTACGGACCGACGGACCGACAAATGCAAAACAATATACCCCCTCTTCTTTGAAGTGGGGGCATAAAATCATGATAAAAGTAATGGAACTTCGTTTTCAGATTTGTTTTCTTTATTAAAAAAGGTTTATTGCAGTATGATTAAATATGCATAGAGGATGTAACTAGCATCAACTATAGATTAGCTAACGGTCAAATATGTGTTTCGTTTAGTAAAAGTTTTCATTTTGTGTTTTTCTTGGCAGTCTGCCATATTTCTCATTCACATTTTCAGACTGTTCTCGGTATGAAATATACGTTCTGGAAGGTTACAGAGGCACTTGTGACGTTATTGCTGAGATGAATACGTCTAAGTTTCTCCAATTTCATCCGGAAATCTGTTATGAGAGATGTCTTGATACGCCTCATTGTCGAGGCGTGACTTTTATACAATCGACATTAGAGTGCAAGTTTCATGTGTGTAACTGCCATACACCGTATACAGAAATAGCTGGTGCAAGGTTTATGTGGAAATATTGTTTAGATGGTTGGTCGATTTGTCTATCCGTATAACCTATCCTGTTCATTACATCTGAAAATTAATATTACATATGAAAAAGTATACAAACCTGCGATGAGTAACTTATCTGTATTTCATTTCCTAAATTTCATTTCTTGCCGTTTTTACACGACAGAAAATGATTCTAAGTTTCTCTAAGAATAAACGACGCTCCAAACAATATGCTATTGCGCAACAAAGACCTCCTACAATTGTTAATTGTGTGTATTGTAAAGAATGTTTGAAATATATTCAAAACTAACTCATTTCAGATGAGGTGAACGCAACAGTTCTTCCGCAAGGTATCGTTTTGAACGCAAAAGAATATCCTACGTCATCTGAATGTAAACCTCAACCAATTTACATAATGCCTTGTGCGTGTAGCTCCGGTTCTTTTGGTAACATGACAACGGAGGAAATTGCACAACAACTCGTGGTAAACTTAACAATCGACGCTGATACCACTTCCGCTAGTATCCGGAAATTGACGTCTGCCGAGGATAACCGTCCTACATCTGTCGCTTTCGGTAGGTAATAATTAAATTTAATTAAGCGTCTCAAAGTATTTTAGATTGACAACAAACATGCTCAGCTGACTATGTCAAATACAATTGTTCTATTACTATAGAGATGAAAGTGAAACGTTTTCGTCTTCTTTTTAAAATATTTGTCATTCATTGTCATTAGATGTTGTGCCTTTAACATTTTAGGTCATTGAATAAGTATGTTTTTGCCATTTATTGCATTGCTATTATCAATTTCATTAAAGAAGTGTCTGTGCAGTTTAGAATGTTAACAATAGAACTCATTTGGAGTGACGAAAGCAAATGTTTCAGTGAATGCGAGACATTTTTAAAAGCAATATTTAAGTAATCAATAATTAATAATAATCAAGCACAGTTTACAGAAGAGCAGGAGATCATACGTTTTATATGTCCAGACATAATGTGTTAAGTTCTCCCATTAGAAAGCTATCTTAAGTAGTTTTGGACTTATTAGGAGTCTATGTTTCTCCCTAGTGTTGATCAGAATCTGAATGAATAAAAAGAGGGAAACATGCTCCCTTTCTGTTTCGTTAAAGCTATATATTATCAGCAAATAATTCATATTTCATCTGTGTGTCTTAAACACGAGCAAGTCAGTGTTTGTACTTCCGAGCATTGTTTTGTCTGCATCTGCGATTAAAAGGATCCGTTGATTTTGGAAAGGGGTGGGGATGTGACTAATGAGCAGGCTTTGGATTTCCTCAAATTAGAGACTGTGGCTGCTCTGTGTTCGCAGTTTACCCTCCAGATCACGACAGGTAGCCACATTGTATTTACCAGAGCACAGTTCAGCCACTGCATTGTTCCTGGGTAAGCTGTCAAGCAGTTTACCATACTGAGTACTAGTTGCTTTAACTTTCGCAAAGAACTGATAACTTCTGTACATGCCAGTGTATGGCTACGGTGCAAATAACAGTCGAAAGGATTTCACGATAAATCGCAACGAATGCACCGTTCGGGAACAGAACCCGGGTCGCCCGATTCATAGTTTAACGTTCTACCTATTGAGCTAACAGGACGACCTTTTTGCTGCTTTGTGTATTTAAACATGTGAATAAGTATTATCAAAATAGTAAAATTGAGTAAATGTCACCGCCCTGTACAGTGCAATAACTAGGTAAACACGAGTGTTATGTGCTTGATTTGACACACAAGTTTGACACTCACAGGTACAATAAACTCTGATGTCTTCATAAACCAAATATGCATTTATTGTATGAATTTACTATTTTATTTTCCTTTAATAACATAGGATACATCGGTGTTGTTGTTATTGCTGGAGTTGCAGCTGTTATTTGCATCATGGACGTACCTAACTTAATACGAACTTTAGCACACATCGGAAAGCAAATTAAAAAGATGGTAAATCAGAAGAAAGCCCGAAAAAAGAGACCGAAATGTTATGTTAAACCTCTGTCAAGTGGCCCGATTGAAGCTATTGATCATATATTCGCTGAAAATATCGACAGTGTTTTAGAAACAGATGCAGAAACACACACGTCCACCGGAACGATTGAGTGACTGATAGATACACAAGCTATCAAAACAATCTGGTCTTATTACAGTATGGTGTTAAAGCCGCCAAAAATAGTTTAAAGTTCAACAGATTCTGCAATATATAACAAGACAGTTGTCCCCTTGTTTTTTACTTCCCTTTTTATTCATAGATGTAATAGAGACATGTATTTGCTATAATATCATTATTTGTGTTGCGTAACTGTATCTTTTAAAATTTAATTGCATTGTATTTTTCCAATTACCTTTATAGTAACTGTATGCTGAATAATTGACAAATAAATTAGATAAGTTTACGATTATTTCAATTATCAAATAGGTAAGTGTTTAGTCACAAGAAACAAGTAAGTATGGTGTGTTAACGTAAAATGATGAATAGGTACCCTAATAATTATATTCATAATCATCAAATGGTTTCCTTAGCATTTGAAACCCACGTTGGCTGAGTTTCTACGAACATTTACTCTCCACTGTAAAGTTAGGTTGCCAAACTCTAATGTTGTTTTTTTTTTATTATGGCAAGAGATGTGAAAAAATTAAAACTGTTTTATTGTAAAAGTGCACAAAACAATGCTTTTAATGAATAAATATTACCAAGAAATTAAATGTGTTTTCTTTATTTTAAACAAACGAGAAACCTTTAACTAAATACATTCTTTTCGAGGATAACAAGTCCGACAGTCACTACGTAAAATATACAGTAAGATATTGCTTAATCGCTTTTTTGTAAATGATTATAAAGAAAAGACCTTTACATTCAAAACTGATTTTCATAATATTGTCACAATTGGCAGTACCGTCCATGAACAATCTCAATCAAAGCGAGCCCACAATATTGTCAATTTTGCGATTTTTGGACTTTCTTTAAAGATTCTGGTTTTCTCAATTTTTTTTTAGTATAATTTATATATAATAAACATCACCAACAACTAAAGGTAACAATAAATTAACCTAAATTAGAAATAAACGTCGCTTATCTAATTATCTTATGCTTTTATTTATAATATTTCATATAAGAAATGATATATGCCAAACTGTGATTTTATTGCTCAATAAAATCACTGTTTGCGGATGCGAGGAGTTATATCACGAGGGCTGAGTCCGAGTGATATAATTATGCGCATCCGAACGACAAACAGTTATTTGATCAAGCAATAAAATCACCGATTTGAATATATTATTTCAGTTCTAACACGACATCAACAAATAAATGCTGCCGTATCTGATATTAAGCTAAATTGGGCCTAATTTGTTTCCGTACTTGTTTATAGTGGTAACGTCACATGTATAATGATTACGTCACATGTCTAAATATAGAACGCCAAACAGTGACTTTATAGCATAATAACACACACTTTCGGTTCTTCTATGTTCAATAGGGAAAAATGCGGTCATGTTAGAATACGTCTAATAATCAATGATAATAGTGAAAGTTAAAAAAAGGTTATATTAAACCTTTCCTAGATGAGTGACAAATATATCATATCCTTTCAAAAAATTCTTAATTGCTATTTTACAGTACGTGCCCAACTCATCTAATGCATTCTCCCAGTCGCTTTACTAGAATCTTTCAGTCCATCCTCATCTTGTAACATTACTGTAATATGATAAAAGTTGTAGGTGTTTGTAAGAAAGAGTCCAACGTTGATATACAAAGAGATTTTTATTTAATATATTCTTTAAACGAAAGTTCTTATTTGTGACCATAATGTTCAACGCATTTCAGCTGACGTTCAACTATTCCTGTAATTACTGTACTGCTCCAGAATTTGCTTCTAATATAGCACTAGCATCATCTCTGCCAGGACCAAAAACTCTGTTGCTATATTTTTTTCACCCCACCTTGCATAATTCCACAATTTTTTTCTATGCATCACCCCTTGGAACATTATTACATGTACGAAATTAACCCGAATTTCCCCTCGTACATGTTTGAACATAGACAGTATCTTCCTCTTGATAAGATGCAGATCATCTTTTGGAACCATTTGAATTAACAGCTGTAAACTAACTGTTCTGATTTTCTTCTTATTCTTTCCGTTGGTCTTTCTACAGAGAATAAGGAAACCTTTAAGAACGTCCAAATGGGCAAAATTGAAAATGTTGCAAGCTCATTTTTATTGAACCTGGTCATGGACGGTACCGATGTATACGTCTAATACGATAACGTTTACATAATTCGGTTGTACCATTATAAAATAATTGGTTACGAAAGTTATGTAATTATACACCATTTGCATTTGTACTGAAATAAAAAAAGGATTTAAATAGGATAGTACATTTGCTTTTGCAAAGGTCGGTCGTAATAGGAAGGTATTATTTTTGATGTCATGCTTCTAATGCAAAATAAAAAAAAATGAAAATAAGGCAAGTTTGGATGCAGTAGTGAGTTATAATGCATTTGTCAGCAATGCAGCTTTACAATGCATATGTCAGCAGTAAAGCTTTACTATGCACTTGTCAGCAGTATAGCTTTATTATGCACTTGTCAGCTGTTCAGCTTTATCATGTACTCGTCAGTAGTAAAGCTTTATCATGCACTTGTCAGAGGTATAAATTTATCATACACTAATCAGCAGTACAGCTTTATTATGCACTTGTAAGCAGTAAACCTTTACCATGTATTTGTCAGTTGTAAAGCATTTTCATGTACTTGTTAGCGGTATAGCTTTATCATGCACTTATCAGCAGTACAGCTTTATTGTGCACTTGTCAGCTGTATATCTTTACCACGCACTTGTCAGTTGTATAGGTCTATCATGCACTTGGCGGGAAGAAGTCATGAAGTCTTCGTCAATGGCATTTTTATGTATTATAATACTGCAAGTTTGTAACGTCGCTTTTCATTGGATAATCGTGGCGTTTATATAGTTTTATATACACGGCTACTGTAAATTTATCAAGAAATCACACTTTTGTCTCTCAAAGAAGATGCTCGCTGTATTATAAAATCGTTATAATTATTTCTAGCGGCTCGGGTTATATTTAAAAATAACAGTATATATAGGGCCATATAATATAACAGTTTTTATAGGGCCATATAACATGTCAAAATATTTATAACTTATATCATATATAAAAAGACAAGAAGTCACTTCTTTATGTACGCTGTCAGTAAATTTTATAAACAGCAATAAATTAATATGTGAATAAGATCGAAAAGTTAAATCGATCAATAACTACAATGTATTGGTTATTAAGCATTCTTGAAAATTAGTAAGATTCGAAATTATATATATGTCGTTCATATATGTGCTGTTTAATTCAGCAGATTTTTTTTTTGGTCAAATGGTAAATCTTTTTTTTTCTTTTTTTTATTTTATTTATTTATTTATTTATTTATTGTAAAAAGCTGTTGGATTACTGGATTCATTTCAAATTATAGTGCTCAAGTCAATACAAAATACGCAGAAGTAAACGACGGGGACGATTTAATATCATTATAAAATGTTCAAAATGTATTCCAAAAATATTCTATTTCATGTAAAAGACTGAAGTGTCTTTGGCAAGATTTTAAAATGATATTTGAATAATTATATTCATAAAATAGTTTTCATGATGTTTGTTTTTCATATAAAGGCAATAATCACCGAGTGGTTTAAAATGCACTTGATTTTAATTAATATTTTTGTTGATTTCCTGTTTGTCATTTGTACATGCTTTAAAATCATTATAACTGTATGACTTCTAAACATGTTCGATTTAACATGTTATTAATATTTAATGTTTTACTAACATAATACACGCATTAACTTATTAAACGTTTACGATTGGCGCTTTTTTAATTACGTTTGTAAAGAAGTACGTTTTTATGACAGGTATGACGTATCCTTACGGTGGTTACAAACGAGCGTTAACTGGTTTACAAAATTTGCATATTATTGTCATTAAGGCTAACGAATTGCGAATAGTTGATTATGGTTGGTTTAACTTTTCTATTGCACTAGGTAGAAAAGTTAAGCTATATGTGTAAAATGATTTACTTTGATTTCATAACTTTATATATCGTCTGCTTTATATTGACCTGTAATCACTTTGAATTTAAATATATTTTAACATTTCATATATTTATCTGTAGTGGATTTGAATTGAAAAAATATATATATTAACATTTCAATACGTTAAGAGAATAGTTGTTTTTTTCTGCCTGATGGAAGAAAGAGACTTTCGTGCAGTCTGACAAGGCTCAATACAGTCGCATAAGAACATTTTTTATCTTTATTATGATAATCTAACAATTATACTAGACAAGTTTATTTAACAAATCAAGTAGTTTTAACCGTGAATGGCAATTTTTGTTTTAGTTTTAACTGATGTGATTGATTCTGGTACAGTGCTAAACTATTGAAAAAAAAATTATATTGGTATTCATATTCCTGTAAATGTTTTATTACAAATACATTGTAGTCCTTTAGTCATTGCCGAGTCTTGCAAGGAGGAAAGGAAAATTGGAATCAGATACCAATTTTAATTTTTTATATAAAAGGCGTAATCAAATCGAGTCTAAAATAATGTTATGTTATGTGTAATGTTTGTTGCAATTGCTTGGACTCTTTTTTCCACAGTTTGTTCTGCGAAATATATATAAGAAATGTTGCATATAGTTAATGCGATGCTTGATCACCGTCGTTATTAAAGATATACCATGCTCATCTTTGAGTAAAATAATTTTATAGCACAAACGTATTGAAATGTATAAAATTCTTACTGAATATGTCTAAAGAATGTAAAAACTATGTATGGGAAGTTGCATTCCTTATTACAGGTCAAGTAAAGTTGATCTTTTCTTTAAAAAAAACCCTGCCAATTATTGTGAGGACCAATAGTGTGTAGAGTTTAAAACATAACGTATCTACTTTGTGTGAAGTCGAAACATGTTGATTTTATATTGATAAAGAGACTGTGGAGCAATTTTCAATATTTTCAGATATCAAATTTGAGCATAGTATACCTTTAATTATTTGTCCTGATTTTCTTTTGTAAACAATTTTATTTATAGAAACAAGACACATGGTAAAGCTCTGGGAATTTCCTGTTTTCGACAAAAAATTATTGAAGAAATATTAAAATTTATTAACCAGTAAGTATGAAAATAACATTGACGACAGAACGTTCCCTTGATAAACACCAATACTGGTAAATAATGACGTCCTTCTTACATGTTGTTTCGTGCTATGCGTCAGTGATCATGATGGATCGCTTTAATTACTGTCGTTAAATACATAGATGTACAATTGTCTATATAAATCAAATCTACTTGGTATTCAACCACAATATTGTAGCCACTTAGCTGACCTAACTTGTGATCAAAATTCAGATTTTATAGTGAATAAACGAAGGAATAAAACAAGATACAAGTTGATTTCTTTAACGTAAAGTGTATTGATATTGTGTTTAGAAAGTGCAAGATCAAACAGTGCCCATATTTTTTAAGAATAAAGATAGTGGACTTTTATAATTTATTTAAAAATGTTAACGCCAAAGTTCAGTTTGTTGACAGCATGTTTAATATGTACATTAACGTGTCAAGTACGCTTAGTTTTATCACAAACAATGCCGAACAGAGCCGAGACTAATGTGTATCCTTTCATAACGGACCTTGATGAAGGAGGAAAATATGTATTAAGGTAAGTCGTCTTTGGATTTATTCAGAAAGTCCAAACAAAACTGAATTTTAGAATATGCCATTGACATTAACAAAATGTTTATATGCAAATTTGGTGGTATTTTTTAACTCAACACTTAAAATTTTTTAATAGCATTTCAACACTATATGTACGTAATGAAACTAAACTACATGAACTATAATCTGATATTTCTGTTTGTACCATGATCTAAAATGACAATTCCTTTAGACTTCAGCAACTAAGCTACGGCCACTCGCTAGGCAGTAATTTTATTAGTTGATTTCAGTCATGAACAGTTGATTTTGGTATCGTAATGTACTACTATATCCAAACCCTCTAAACATAACTTGATAAACATGTAATAGACAATACTGTTTTTGTAATGATAACGCTTAGTCTGCGAACTGAGGTATTCCTCACTTAATAAAGCTCTGCTGTGCGACTAAAGGCCAACCAAAAATGTCTGCCTAACTGAAACATACTTTTTTCAATTACAGATGGGGTTTCAATGAATCTGTAATTTGGTTTCAAGTTCAAGTACAAACACTTGGCTACGTAGGTTTTGGAATATCAGAAACTGGTAAAATGGTACCGGCAGATGTGTTTGTTGCATATGTTACAGATAATCGAAAGGACAATTTGGCATATTTTAAGGTAAGCAAATTTATCATGTCAGTTTCACCTGTTATGTTTTGCTAATCTTATTTTTTAATTTTAATTTTGCAAAAGTGTTTTATTCAAGCAAATTACTGATGCAAATCTGACCGGTTGTAACAATTCTTCGTAATTATATAGATTAAGTTCTAAAACTTTCCAACAACTTTATCACTTTTTCTTTCAAAACCTTTCCCTGAATGCGTTCATAGTATTCTACACTGTTAGTTATGATAAGCAACATATACATGTATATACATAGTTACATCAAACTAATGCATTTCAAATAGGATTTCCATACGGTGGGTTATACACACCCAGAGTCGGACGTCTCGCAAGATTGGTTCCTTGACTCGGCTGATGCCATAGATGGTTGGACCGTTCTGGAGTTCCATCGCAAACTGGACACGTGTGATACTGTAGGGGATATACCAATTACAGTAAGATTGTTGTATATGTTATCTATCAAATTGTAGATACCATCATTTGAGTTTTATATGTTATTTTGTAAATTGTAGACTTTATATATAACTTTTAGATATTATATTATTAGTTTTAAATGTAATGAGTTAAAAATATTTTTATGTGAGCTTTAGTTTGTAATGTGTGAGTAGTAGATTTAGTAAAACGTCTACGCATATTGTTCATGGGATTATGTTACTGTTTATTGCAGATATCATTGTAAATGTGATTTTGTTATTTGTAGATGTTGAAAATATGAATTTTATTTTCAGAGTGACACAATGCAGCTGATTTATGCATACAGTGACCAGGACCCCGCTAGTATTGATTCAATAATGTATCATTCAAAACGAGGAAGCAAAGCTGTCAATTTGTTGTTGGCATCTTCGCCCCCAAAGTTCTATCCTGCTGATGTGAACACTATGGATTTCCTTAACGAAAACGTATGTGTCTGTTTCACTATGTCTAGTTTTGTATAACTTATATATTGTTTATCAATTTTATGTTGCTTTAAAATATCATGTGTCAAATGGCAAAGTGTTGCTTTCAATAATTATTTTTTTTACACAAGTCATGTACACAAATTGTTTGAACCAAAAATCGGAAATGATATCAAAATATTTATTTCTTCTTCGATATTGATGAGAAAATATCTTTCTATTATCAAATGTTTTAACATAAACAACGTATTATCATTAATAATAATATTTCTTGATATTTATAGTGATTTCTTTATTTCCTTTTTCAAGTGGTTTTATTGATTACTTTAAACAGTGCACAGATTTGGTAATTGTAGTTCATGTAGTTCATCCTTGTTGCATGTTTGTATTTAGTTTGTCATTATATATTTCAGTACAAAATACCAGCTGACGGAATGCCAAATTTTCACTGCAAATTGTTTGATCTTTCTAACATAACTAAGAAGCATCATATTATAAAAGTAAGTTTTACTAATTTATTATTGTGATCTAATTTATTTACATACGCCCGCCGCGTTCCCTCACCCTATCGACGTAGTGGTTGCGCCTCTAGGTTGGGTATTGTGTCTTCAAATAATTCTTATTCTATTGATGGATACTGAATGAAACTTTCCAGCACTTTTACGGAATGTTATTTATTCTGAAATCATACTTTGCTTAAAGTATAGCAAATAGATCGTGTGTGTTTGACAATGTTTACTATTTCCAAAATACAAAAAAAAAAATCACCTTTACAAGTTTAAATGTAAGACATATGACATATGAATTTATAGGATATTATGTATAATATTGTATCGTTTTACTATAAGGAAGTAGCAACACAGGACTTATTTTTTCATAGATAGGGCGCTATGAATCACAATATATTTCATACAATATCTTAGTTTTTTGTTTAAGGTATTCCAGTTTTGTAGAACCTTAAGGAAAACAGTGTACCCCATCTTTTTTTCATACAATATAACGCAATTACTTCTAAACATAAGCGGACATATGACATGTGAATTTATAGGGAACAATACATATTAATATTACAATTTACTGTTCTTTTTAATGATAGGTTAGTCCAGTTTTGTCGGATCTTACAGAACATAATGTACATCACATGGTGTTATATCGTTGTTACGTGAAGAACGTAACAGATTTGATGAGCCATGGTGATAGTTTTAACTGTTTCACGGACGCACCAAACCATATCACGTTTTGTAGAGAGCATGTGGCAAGTTTTGGCCATGGAAAGTCGGTAAGTGATGACACAGCAAGTATGTTTCTATTGCGTAAACTTTGCTTTTATTTTAATTAAATTTCGTTTAGTCTAAATTATAAAATTATCTTAAATTTTTCATTTTGAAAATTATTGTTCGAAATGCATTCCTAGTTATCATTATAATATTTTTATTATTGAAAGTTGGAATAATTTAAAGAAACTGCATTTTGTTTTATCTTCTGATGTAAACCGTGTATATCTTTTCAAAATAACATTTTTAAAAATTTCTTATCCATTTTCATCAGAAGGACCTTTTGTTCAGAATAGACCAATGTTGAAACTGTTTGATAAACCATGTGGCTCTGGTCTTTCGGTAATTTTCAATTTCGGATTTCTTTTTCAGACTATGAGGAAAATATAAAATTTTTAAATTACACAATATATAGGTTTTAATTTGAATTGAGTTTTTAATGGAAAAAAGTAGTTTTTTTTGGTAATAATATTAAAATTGATGATGGTTAACAATTACAGCCCATGTATCTTCCGGAAGACGTCGGAATACCATTTGGGGGTGCAGAAGAGGCAAACTTTTACGTGTTGGCCACGCATTACGAAAATGAGGAGTCTTTTACAAGTAAAACATCTTACATAGATGTTAATGTTTATACCGTTTACAATATCAGTTGCATATCTGAATATAGTTAAGAATTATCATATACAGTATATTGAAGTGACATTTGATTGTTTGATTTGGATTTACGTCGGACCGACTAAGTATAGGTCATGTGGCGACTTTCCAGCTTTACTGGTGGAGAAAGACCTCTGGTGCCCGTTTGTTCATTATTACAGGCACGAACGTTGAAGAGACATTATGTAGTTAAACTAATTAAAACAACAACAACAACAACAATACTTAAATAAATATGCATTTACTATTTATATGAGAATAAATAATTGGATATTTTGTTTTTTAGATCTTATTGACAACTCTGGTATACGGATAACTTACACAGCAAAGTTAAGAGATCATGATGCGGCGTTCCTTTCCCTTGGAAACATCATTAGTCCTAACTGGCTTCAGTTTATACCACCAGGAGAACCAAACTTTGTCCAGAAAGCCTACTGCTCAATGAGATGCCTTGGATGGGTGAGTTAGTTAAAAATACTTAATGTATAAGTGTTTAAGATTGTATCGTAGTGTTCCATAATCAATGGCAGGATACTACGTCATTGCGCACCTGCAATATGCTCCCAATCGGACTGTTTAGTTTTTAGTAAACATCCCGTCGACTCGATGGTAATATTTGTTTCTATTCTAAACAAAAATGTTATAGTATCAAATGTAGTGCACCAACGATTGGCTTTAGTACTTGATATGATTTTTAAAAAGTTAAAAGTTTAACCTGAAAACGGGATACAGTTTTTATTTCCTAACTGCTCCCACTCGGACACATTCCGCTTTGGAGCATTTTGCAGGTGCGCGATGACTTAGTATCCTACCATTTTAAGACTGCTACAAAAGTGATTGTCATATTTGGTTATATTCGCTCTGAACTTTCATTATGTTATAATATAATTGTTATGTGATTGTAAATAATATTAAGAACATATATTAAGGTGACGCGATAACAAATAATGTACTGATTCGCTTTGTGTTTCACTTGTTTAGAAATAAAACCTATAACGGATAATATACATCTATCCCGATTCTAGAATCAACTTAGAACTGGAAAAAACAAAAACTTTAAGTCAGAATTAATGATTGAACATCTTTTTAGATGCAAACTCAAATTAAGCTTTTTTACAGTAAAAGGTTACGGACATGAAAAGACACTAATGAGGTTACGCTAATAATTACCATGAATGACGCTTGAACTGAATATAAAAGATATAGATCTCATAATGATTATCATTTTATGTATTTCAGGGAATTGGCAATTGCTGGAATAAAAAAAAATCTAAATCAAAACAATCTAAATCATCTAGAGGACAAAAATCTGGATTAATCAAATCGAAACCATCTCGATCAACCAAATCTGTACCGATGACGGTGGTTGGTGTTCAGTTTCACTCCCATTCATTGGGTAAAGCCATGAAATTACGTCATTTCACGCGCTATAGAGGAAATCGAGCGCGGGAGAACCCGTGGTTAGCGTATGATAGGTCATATGATAGTGAACAACAAAGCTTCCGCCTTCTGAGTACACGACGAAAAGTTAATTGCGTACGTGTTGAGTATATTCATTTGCAGTTTAATACAAAAAATTAAAATAATATACTTTTAGTTTGAATCGAGCTTTACATTAAACGCTTTGTTCTTTTGCTGCTAATGATACTCGCAACATTTCGGCCTTTTCCGATGATCGACGAATGGTTCCAAATGGTATAAGGCTCTATACCTTGAGCTCCCGTGTTTTTAAATTAGACAAAACCGATATGAAATAATATAGAAAAGACAGTTTATATATTAGACGAATATTTTTGTAATGAAGGACATTTTTCGGATAGACCATGCCATTTGGAATGTTTACCGGAATGTCGGAAAATATGTAAAACCTTTTACTAGAATGTCAAAAGAATATTACCAATGCCACTTGTACCGGAATGTCAGAAAATGTTCTATAAAGCTAGCAATGACAAAATGTATTCATGTTCTTGCTTTATTTTATTTTAGAGAGACGAATTATTGTTAGAGTGTACCTATGATTCATCACAGAGGCAACGACCAACAGTGGTAAGACATTTTTATTATCAAAAAACAAACAAACAAGAAAACACTTCATAAAATACTTAAACCTTATTCTAGTAATCGTTCAATATCTATATACAGCTGCAGTTAGTCTTGTGAAAAGAAAATGTGCTAGTTTCCATATTTAAAATTGAAATCTGGTTTATGAATAGCCACATTACTGAAAATAACATGATACATGTTTGTCGAACATATACTACGTCTATTTGTCGTCGGAATGATCGTACGTTTTCTTTTTCTTTTTGTGTAACAGGGTTTTCACATTTATATACTAATGATCATTATCGGTATGGTTCGAGTTTTTGTTTGTTTGTTTGCGTTTTTTTTCTTTCCATTTCACGTTTTACATGATTTTTTAATCATAAATCGGTTTGGTTGTTTTATCTAGACCAATTATAATGCGGGATAACATAGATCAAAACAATAGTCGGCGTAAACATTAAAGGCCCATTATGCTTCAGAAATGTTTTTTTATCTTTATTTTCTAAAACATCATTTATTATGTCCTGTTATAGTTTCAGAAAAGTTACTTATTGGCGAAATAACTGAACCATCTTTTGCTCTTTTTTTTGGCATTATTATAGGTATAATGTTTTAGTATTTTGTATGGAAGTCAAATAATATAATTGCTAGTTTGTTTTCATTTGCTACTTTCATAACAAAAGACATCTCATTCATCTACACTTTCTTCAGCTGATAAACATCTTATAAGCTCTGAAACCATTATCTAAACACTATAAAACTCACATTTGCCCTTTCTAAAGAAGGAAAATAAAATTATATTCGTTCAAGATTTTATAAGATTTAATGCGCTATTTCCCTTGTTTCATAAATGCGCTACTTTCCTGCTTTTATAAATGCGCTACATTCCTGCTTTTATAAATGCGCTATTTTCCTATTTGTTTTTTAAGATAAACTATTTACCATTTTTTAGATACGCTACTTTCCTGTTGCTTTTTTAGATGCGCCTTTTTCCTGTTTTTTAGATGCGCTATTTTCCTGGTTTAATAAGTGCAATTGTTTCTGATTTTATAAGATTTAGTGGGCAAAATCCCTTGTTTTATAAGTGCGGTACTCTCCTGGTTTTATAAATATGCCGTTTGTTTCTGGTTTTAAAATTTAAATGCGCTATATTCCTGATTTTATAAATACGCTATTTTCCTGGTTTTATAAATACGCTATTTTCCAGGTTTTATAAATGCGCTATTTTCCTGGTTTTATAAACATGCCATTTCTTTGAGTTTTATATTTTAAATGCGCCTTTTTCTGGTTTTACAAATGCGCCATTTCCTTCGTTTCATAAACACCCTTTTTCCTGGTTTTACTAATGCGCTGTTTTCCTGGTTTAATAAATATGCTAATTTCGTGGTTTTATAAATGAGCCGCGTCACGACAAAACCAACATAATGGGTTTGCGACCAGCATGGATCAAGACCAGCCTGCGCGTCCGCGCAGTCTGATCAGGATCCATGCTGTTCGCTATCAGGTTCTCTACTTGTTATAGGGTTTGTAAGCGAACAGCATGGATCCTGATCAGACTGCGCGGATGCGCAGGCTGGTCTGGATCCATGCTGGTCGCAAACCCATTATGTTGGTTTTGTCGTGACACGGCTCAAATGTGCTATTTTTTTTGTTTTATAAATGCGCTATTTTTTTTTAGTTTTATAAATGCGATATTTTGTCTTAAACTTTAAACATTTAACATCGTGCATGTGTCGGTAATGTAGCAAGTGATTATCATTCAAACCGCGTCGTTAAAACAAATGTATCTCCTTTGAGTGTTCGTATACACATGTTTTTTTTTTTAGAGATGAACACATTTATATTAAATGTCTAGTTCATATTCATCATTTTTAATTGTGGATTTAACTGGTTATTTTGATAAAATAACAATTCTTAGACTATAAATAAATAAACGATAAAAAGAGAAGACTTTAGTGGCCATTTTAAACAAAACAATTTTCACCTGGGTTAAAGGTAGAGTGCAATACATTCAAATATATATCAAGACTGCTAGTGTTTCTTTTCGCGTATAACATCAAATTTTTTAATTTAAAAACGGAAAATGATTAATTTATTCTTTGTTAGTTTAAGGTATACATTTGTTTAATACATTTTGCACATCTTACATTTGAAGTAAAAATCGCACAAAGAAAAAATGAGCCGCGCAATGACAAAACCAACATAATGGGTTTGCGACCAGCATGGATCCAGACCAGCCTGTGCTTCCGCGCAGTCTGATCAGGATCCATGCTGTTCGCTTACCAACTCTATTACAAGTAGAGAAACTGATAGCGAACAGCATGGATCCTGATCAGACTGCGCGGATGCACAGCTAGGCTGGTCTGAATCCATGCTGGTCGCAAACATATTATGTTGGTTTTGTCGTGACGTGGCCCAAATGCTTATCATTCAATGTATCAACAAATCTACACAACTGACATTTGTCCTCCTTTTATTCACAGGGTGGTTGGACGGAGTATGACGAACTGTGCCGTGGATATATGCTGTATTACCCAAGAAAACCAATTGAAGGATGTATGAGCTGGAATAATTATGATAAACTCACGAGTACTGACGGACACAAGATTAACGGCACTGACGTTTTTAGGACGCTTGTAAATACAAACTGGAAAGATGACCGAAAGATGAGAAACATTCTAAGACAGACTTTAGATAAATCCTGGGAAAATGCCCAATGCTGGACATCATCCCCGAAAAGAGAAATTTCCGTAAGTATTTATTTAATACTTTTTATAACCATAAAGTGAAAAAGATAGAGCTAATTAAGTACATACATAAGGTGAAAAAAGATAGAGCTAATTTAGTATATACATAAGGTGAAAAAAGATAGAGCTAATTTAGTATATACATAAGGTGAAAAAAGATAGAGCTAATTTAGTATATACATAAGGTGAAAAAAGATAGAGCTAATTTAGTATATACATAAGGTGAAAAAAGATAGAGCTAATTTAGTATATACATAAGGTGAAAAAAGATAGAGCTAATTTAGTATATACATAAGGTGAAAAAAGAGGGAACTATCGAAATAACTTGTAATTTTCGGTTGTGAAATATATCTATTTCAAATTACATTATTCAAATTGAATCTGCATGCTGGACTAAGCAGTACTTGTTATCATAAAGTATTTACAGCCATGTGCTAACTATCAGACACGTTAACCACTGAATACCCGTTCTCTCACTTAAAGGTCCATAGTAAATTCCTCGTACATCACAAACGTTGTTTACAAACAATATCATGTTATTATTAAATTGTTGTTTTTTTTTCAACGAAATAAAATATCACGGAAAAAACTATGAAAAGTTAATTGCTCATACCATGTCTCCTGCTGTTTTTTTCTTACAAAGATTGATGGCATTTATAAATATTTACTTTGCTTTAAAATGTTATGTTTTTATTTTTCAGTATGCAATAGATTTTTTCCGACAACCGAGAATAACAAAAATCTATAAAGAACCACAATCGTCGACTTGTCAGGGTGTGTAAAAAGAAATGACAAAGAGGAATGTTTAAACCAGACTTTCCGTAAGATAACGCTCGGAAAGTTCCGCTGACTAGAATTGATTTTTTTGTTTCAATGTCCTTAATGATACTGCCTTTGATTTCAAAATAACCACCAGGTCATAGAATTTCAAATTTATATCCTTCTTTAAACACTTATTGTGAAAAGCACTAGGCTCATAGATATGATGTGACCTTTATTTTTACATTTTTACATAGTTTTTGTCCGGTGAGAGACCTAATGATGGCATAAAAATGAATAACAAAGCATCTTTATTTTTCAATTACTACCATTTTATAACTATTATTGTAAATGGCTATATTATATAGACGAACACAAAAGTAACTAGAGCTTTCTGTCATATTCTCACATCATCAAAAAGTCATCACCGAAATGGTGCTTAAGGTGACATTATGCCCATCTAAGAGTAAATTGTGAGTGTTCAGGTACAATTGAAAGTATGTTTTTATAGATAAATAAATATTAATATATTTCGGAAATTATTGGCAGTACTGCATTTATAAAAAAGAGAGGGGTCACTTCTTTATATTTCAAGTCCGTGTTATATTTCATCGTGAACATTTGACATTATCAGTTATTGTTCAGCCAATGTAATTTTAAGCCTATCATAGCATTCGGCACGATATGGTCACTTATATGTTGACGTGTCGTAAAAATCCAAACAAACAAACAAAATAGTCAATCTTTTAGAATATACAACTATTTGATCAGCTTGACATTGAAAAAAAAATGAGCATAATGTCACTTTGACTTGTTTTTCGACTTTAGTTTAGAATATCAACATAATAAATAGTTTAATTTCTTTTCAATATTTTTTCACACGGTCAAATGAAAGGCTTCAATAATTATCAGGGAGTTATGACACAAAGCAAGGGAAAACATATTTCAATTAAAGAAGTGTGATGTAATAAGCAAATACATGTATGATTTTCACTTCATGTCAATAAATATGTTAACGTTATTTTTGCTTCATTTTGACTGTGATAGAGTGCTTCTAAACGCCTCATTGCGCTTCATTATGCCTCATTACGCCTCATTATCAATTATCGTTACATTCATCTCCTCACTCATGAATATTTATTACCACAATTCATCTCATTATAAGTCAGTTAACGTATGTATGTAAATATAAACTATGATGAAGGAGTTATTTTTTATATATACCTGAAATAAATGTTAATAGTGACAGTCATTTATTGTTTGTTTTGTTTTTATACATACCCTCCTCCCCATTTTATTTTCCATCCTTATAAGTGTATTCGAGTGTTTCTTTTTTTTTTGGGGGGGGGGGGGCGGGAAGGGGGTGGGCTTTTGGTTTCATTTATACATTTTATATCATAATGTATATATGACTTATGTAAGATGTATTTGTAAGAGGTCACAAAAGTCCGTGTAAATTATTCATTCGTAAAATAAGCTGCTATAATGATGTTGTCATTTTAAAGTAAAATGATGTAAATAATTTCATAAAGCAAAATGCATTCACGTATTAACTTGTTTATATGATTTCAATATAAAGTTCAGTTATTCTTAAAGCTGTTTTAACTTTAACAGTTTAAAATTGTATCCCGCCATAATATGACAGGTTAATCATCATTTTTGGTGGCTAGCAGTACGCAATAAAACGAACAAGACGGGCTGTTTTCGCTTTCAATTGGCTGTACAGATTTACGTACTTTAACGTTTATTATCTACGAAATAGCTTTACCTAAGTAAACAGGTTTTTGCTGAATCATGTTTTGTGATACAATTTGAGGTTAACCAAAGAAGATAGGAAGCTAAATCGCTTATATAATTAACAATCTTGAACTTACAGGATGGTGAACCATCGTGACTTGGGAAAAGTAAATAGCGAACTTTTATTTTTTATGTTTTAAAAAGCCCCGACTTAGCTAATCTATTTTATTTTAAATTCTGAATTGATTTTCTTTTAAAATGCATAAAGCCGTGCTTCTTATAAAGTGCATAAACTAAGTGTTTTACCCGTACATCTTATAAAGTAAATAAACCCCTACAACATATAAAGTGCATCAACCAAGTGCATAAAACCCTTCTTCCCATGAAGTACATATACACATACGCCTTATAAAGTACATAATTCCCTACATATTATAAAGTGCACAAACCGAGTGCATAAACACCTTCATCTTATAGAGTACATAAATCCCTTCACCTTATAAAGTGCATTGACCCTTACATCTTATAAAGTACATAAACCTCTATACATAATTAAGTGCATAAATCTCATCACCTTATAAAGTGCACTAACCAAGTGCATTAACCTCTACATCTATTAAAGTACATAAACCCTTATTAAGTACATTGATCCCTTCACCTTATAAAGTACATAAACCCCAACACCTTATTAAAGTACAAAAACCCCAACACCTTATAAAGTACATAAACCCCTACACATTATAAAGTACATAAACCCCTACACCTTATAAAGTACATAAACCCCAACACATTATAAAGTACATAAACCCCTACACCTTATAAAGTACATAAACCCCTACATCTTATAAAGTACATAAACCCAAACATCTTATAAAGTGCATAAACCCCTACACATAATTAAGTGCATAAATATCATCACCTTATAAAGTGCACAAACCAAGTGCATTAACCTCTACGTCTTATAAAGTACATAAACCCCAACACCTTATTAAGTACATTGATCCCTACACCTTATAAAGTACATAAACCCCAGCACATTATAAAGTGCATAAACCCCTACACCTAATACAGTACATAAACCCCTACATGTTATAAAGTACATAAACCTCATTATCTTATAAAGTGCATGAACCAATTGCATAAACCCGTACATCTTATAATCTGCATAAACCCCAACACCTTATTAAGTACATAAACCCCAACACCTTATAAAGTACATAAACCCCTACACCTTATAAAGTACATAAACCCCTACACCTTATAAAGTACATAAACCCCTACACCTTATAAAGTACATAAACCCCTACACCTTATAAAGTACATAAACCCCTACACCTTATAAAGTACATAAACCCCAACACCTTATAAAGTACATAAACCCCTACACCTTATAAAGTACATAAACCCCTACACCTTATAACGTACATAAACCCCAACACCTTATAAAGTACATAAACCCCAACACCTTATAAAGTATATAAACCCCTACACCTTATAAAGTACATAAACCCCTACGCCTTATAAAGTACATAAACCCCAACATCTTATAAAGTGCATAAACCCCTACACATTATAAAGTACATAAACCCCTACACTAAAGTACATAAACCTCATTATCTTATAAAGTGCATGAACCAATTGCATAAATCCGTACATCTTATAATCTGCATAAACCCCAACACCTTATTAAGTGCATAAGCCCCTACACCTTACAAAGTGATAAACCCTTACACCTTTTAAAGTGCAAGCACCCATACATAGACAAAATGGAGTCAGTTGTTACCTACTTTATTCATAATCTTTTTACAACTGTTTTAGCGATTTGAACGATTAAGGTAAATGATCTGGACTTTTTTAAGAATTGCCCGTCTAAAAGTTTCATCGGTTTGCTTTCCTTATATAGAGCCTTATAAACAATTTTAGTAGAGTAAAATTAAATCTATTTAGGATTTTGCTAGAAATCGATAAAAATATTTGTTTTCAAAAACAAAAAGAAGTGGTGTTCTTTAATTTCCTTTTTACAGCCTTTTGAGTTTTACATAGAATTTCCCCCAGTTAATTTTCTTTACTGACCTTTCAATGTATGTTTCTCATGCCCTTCTTTTTTCAAACTAAATGTTTCATTTTACAAATCATCACCGAAATATTTATAGGTCATACATTCATAACGAATTCATGCACGTTTTATGTTCGTTAAATTAAATTGTATTGTATCGTTATGAAGTGTTTCACTGAAGTAAGGATCTATTTACTTTTAATAAAATATCAAAGACCTTAAAGGGACGCCACTGAGGTTTTTTGATTAGACGCGTCTTGAAGTAATTGTTCAAGATTTATGTTTCATTTGATGAGGGTCTACCTATACCAATAACTTGTGTGCAAAATTTCAGATCATTTGCTCACACCGTTTTCCAGGATAAGTATTCAACTTGTTAAAAAATGACCCAAAATTGAAAAACGTTACAACGCATTTCAACCAATTGGGGATAAGACTTAGTGTAGCACAAAAATACAATTCTTTATTTATTTCTGAGTATATTTCTAAATTATCATTAGATTATCTTTAGAATATGTTTCTGTTTTAAGTGCCCAAGCTGTTCTAAGTCAGAAATTCAATTTATGTTTTAGGCATTAAAACCCCAGTCACACTAGAGCTTACGATTAATTGCGACCACCGTCGACTTGTAAAACTGACGATCATCAGCGATTGTCTGCGACCAAAACCATTTTTGCACAGATAAATTTACTTCTGCGACTATCGTAAGACCAGTCATCATTGACAATAGCACGACAGGTCATAAGCAAACTTACGATGGTCTCAAGATTGTGTGGGATTTTGCTTAAGACTACCCGTCACCTGTCATGCGATCACCTACAACTTGTCCTACGACCATCGCACGATAATTCAAGGTTACTCAAGATTATCAGTGACTAGTGGCAATTTGTAAAGACTGTTCTTTAGATTGTCGCACTTCCGAACGACGATCGTGCGACAGCCTAAGACCCTATAAGATCACTAGCGACCTCTCTACGACTGAAATTGGTCGTGGGACCTAAATAAGATAACCTGCGACTGTCAAAGATCACCAATGACCGTCATAAGACGTTTTAAAAATTGTCTGCGACCAGATCACTGGTGATCGTGAACTGGTCTTCACTGGTCGTAAGCCCTCATGTGACTGGGGCTTTAGACCTTATTGGAGTTCCTTTAAAAGCAAACATAAAGGCAGACAGATATTGCACAGTGATAGCTTGTAGTCAAGGAATTTGATATAATTAAAAAAGGAGGTATTACGATTTAGTCAAAATAATTTCATGTTTAAATTTTGATGTCTTAATTCCACTTGAACTTATTAGATTAATTCAATATTTAATTACGTTTGTACATAATACAATTTAACAAGCTTTAAGATTATAAACATATGAATAGGTTGTTTTTTGATGTTCGTCTGAATACGATACTTCTCCGCCCCTAACTCTGTGCTCGAGCTATGTGAAACTCATATTTATATTAGTAACAATGGTAGGATATTTCTTCATCGCACACCTGCAAAATGCTCCCATTCGCACTGTTTTTTTTGTAAACACTAAGATATTTTCTTATTCTAATAAATCGTTATAATATCAAAAAATAATGTAGCGCACAAAAGCCTGGCTTTATTACTTGATATAATTATATAAAAAACGTTTAAAGTTTTACTGTTTGGTTAAAACTTAACAAGATAGTAAAACTTTAAACGTTTTTTTTAATAAATAAAAGAATGAATAAACTATGCATGGTAAGCTGCCTTCCCTATTACAGGTCAATTTAAGTTGTTGTTGTTTTGTTTTGTTTTTTCAAAAAAAAAAATAAAAAAATTAAAAAAATAAAAGCAGTTTTTTTAATGACACTATATATTCCTATTGTGACCACCTACTTGTGTATAGTTTTAAATTTTGTATGAAGTCAAAACTGTTTTATTCTATATTTACAAATAGCCTGTGTAGCAATTATCAATATTTTCTAATATCAAAATTGAGCATAGAATTTAATAGAATCTTTTATAATGAGTATACCAGTTTTATACTATCTTATGTTTTACCGCTCTAAAGCAATAACACTGCATGCGTGTTATTTAACAATATCGAAAACCATACCTTTTCCCAAGATTTTTCTCTTTCAAATCGAAATTCTTTTTTCACCTCTTATAAAACATTATAACAAAATCAGCGTTTTTTTATTGTAATCGGCAACACAACATACCGTTGTCATGAATAGTAAATACAAACATGATGTCCTTGAATGGAAGACAGTTATAGTTACAATTGATGAATAATTAATTCATGAGCCGATGGAATCGGAATACCTTTTTTCTAATGCTTTGTTTTAAGCTATACACTGTTTACTCAATTACGAAGGACATCTTAATCATATATCTCATTTCAAAACGGTATATCTTAACAAAATACATATTCTGATCTTGTACTTGATAAATTAAAGCTGTTTGGATTGAGTTAGGCTTTTTCGGGTGAGTATCATTGATAATAATAAAAATGCAGTTATCTATTTGAGCCGCGTCACGACAAAACCAACATAATGGGTTTGCGACCAGCATGGATCAAGATGACAAATTATTTTGCCAAAAGAGGCTATAAAGCAATCAAATTCCAAAGATCAAATTTGAGCATGGCATCTCTTTGATATTTATTGACACGTACGTTATTACCTAATCTGGCCCAATGTGTAATGTGATAAATATTTTAATCCAAGTCATTTTGAAGATAAAACATAAAATTAATCATCATTTCTCTGCAGCAGCTCAAATCATGTGGGATATGTGGTCGGTCCTGTCTCTTGCTAATCAGCAGGCAATTTCTGCTTAGCTATCCTTGAAAACCAGTAAGGCGTACCGACAGCCGTGATGTTACAGACAAAAGTATTTTAAATATACTTAAAACAGATAATCAAAAAATGTTAATTTTACTAAAGAGAATAGTCAATTTTTGTAGACTTCTATATTTAGAATTAAAAAGTCGTGGATCTTACAAGTCATTAATCTCTAAAATACATATATTATACGTGCATTTCTATATTTAGAATTAAGCCAGAAATCCTAACAAAAGGCTTAATCATCAACTTTTATAGTGATGAAAAATTATACCAAATTTAATAATAATATATACAAAAACATTTAAAAATCGGTTTACTGTTCAGAAGAAGGAAAGCAAAGGAATTATTTAATCTAAACGCATTAACTTTAAACTGCTTCGTATAAAGTGTGGTAATAGCCGATCAAATATGCTTTCAATTTGCTTTCTTTGACTTAATAAAGAACAATATAAGTATAATAGTAATGTACTATGAATAGGTGTATACAAAATGTCACTACGGACTTAAAAATTAGTGAAAATATATTAATAGCATTAAACAATTGGTTGGTACAAAGTGTACAGGTTATAAAAACACAAAAGAAAAATCTTTAGATATAATGCAGATTATCTTTTATTTAAGTCTACAAGATTAACATCATCCGGTTCAATAATTTTAATGTTAACCCGGTTCTACGCGTTGATTATTATTTTCATTTACACCAAAAACAAAGCTAACGAGATGGAGTTTAAAATACTGTGAAAGGCTTCCTTTTCGACCTCCAATTTCGAATAACATTTTTATTTAAGGTAAGATTTTATTAAATTTCATAATCAAGACAACTTACAAAAAAGAAATACATATAATTCAATGTTTAAATATCTCATTGCAGATTGTATAATGGTGTTTCATTCGAAATAAAAAGATGGTGTTTGCAGTTGTTATTTATCTTATTTATCAAGCTTTGTAGCACAACAGTTGAATATCCACGTAAAAATGGTTAAAATTCAAATCATTTTGAATATCATAATATCAGGAACGTTCATGCTTCCTAGTTTGTTAGTATTTCTCTGTGTGTGTGTGTGTGGGTGGCAGGGTGGCACGCGGGACGGAGTGGGGTTATGAGAGATGTTTCACTGCCTATTGTATGTAAACCAAATGCAGGCTGAAATTCGAACGTTTTAAATTATATTAGTGTCCGATGTGTCTCCTATTTTTGAAATTATTGAAACAAACATATATTTCTGTATTTCACAAACATAAAAGGTCATTTAGTACTGATGACAAAACAGCATTATACGTTATAACTTTAACATAATCGTAAAATAAGTTCAGTAACCAATTACTTATTCTCTTTTTTATGTTTCAAAAGAAACATGAAAGTATCGATGTATTTAAATTCATTCACGCGATTAAAGACGTATTGATTGGCCCACTAAGCCAATAAAAAATAGGAAACAACTATTAATCAGGCATTTTTAAAAGAAAAATTGCGTCCTTTTACATTTTCAAAAAGAGTACTCTTTTGCCATGTTATTGAGTCATATTTTGATACTATAGCAATTTGGCAATACGTATAGTTATGTGTTTTGTTTTGTAAAGAAGTCTAAATATCATTTGTTTACATTTTGCTACCCTTATGACAAATTACTTCACTTCCAGCGTTACTCTTTCCAAGTAATCAGCATCTTACATACTCTTAAATCCATTAATACAACATTTTAAAATATATATTTACATTTTCTAAAGAATATTATATGCATTTATTCCAGAAACAAAATGTGTCTCTATGCTCTTGACCGATATTGTAAATGCACAATGTCTTTTGCTTGGTTTAAAACTTAAAACGATTTTAATGCAGGAAGATGATTCTTTTCTCCTTTCAGGTTGGTTATATCTGAATAATTGGGGAGTCAAAAATCAAGGAGAAAAAAACATGTCAACGGCAGTGTTTTGTCTACGGACTGAAGATCTGTCATGGCAGGATCGCACTATTAACATAGAGTTTATGGTCGCGCCAGCAAAATCACAGCTCCTTTATAATAAACATAAAGGTCTGAAAACAAAATTTGAGCAGGAAAGTTATTATCTAGATAGGGAAAAGGAATCGTTCATGAAATCATTTAAAACAGAACGTAGACTTTTGGAACGTAAAAAAGAGAGATACTCCAAACGCCGCAATGATATCATCATTCGTAGAGCTTCCGGTGACAGCAGACGGCGGTTTAGTATAACGGGGCGTATTTCCGCTCCGCCAAGGTTGGAACAAGAAAAATCCACTGAATCAAAAGAAAATATGAAGACATTTATTACAGAAACTCCACTTAGAATTTCAAAGTCTGCCGGTGCAAGAACGCGCTCTAAAGATCTCGAGGATTTATCTTATAAGCAAACAACAGAAAAACACCAAGCACTGTTAGCGCCTGTTACGCCTGATATTCGGGCAATTTCACCGTGTGTTTCAACACGCACTAACACACCGGGTAGACCATATCTTCAAAGAGAAAAATCTGTAAGATTTCAAAATTTGGGACTAGGTCAAACTGATGACGAGAAAGAAACTCACAGAGTTGACACTCCTATTCAGGATCGCATTAAGAATTTTCTAGATAAACAAACAGACTTTAACAAAAGTGGACCTACAATAGTAACAGATAAAAATGGAAGAATGCAAAAAATGGACACACGAGTGTTAGCGCGTCGTAGAAGCAGCGTTCACTTGAATATGTCAAAACTTGAAGACGCTTTTAATGATTTCTGTATTGACGGAACTACGGACGGTTTTGACAAGTTGGTAAAATATACAACTAAAATGAGGGCAGGTGTAAAAAATGCAAGGAATTCATTCTTGATACCCAACAGCCCATGCCAATAGTATTGACATGGTTGAAACAAGGGAAAACAATTTGGTATCTGGGAATGAAAATTATAATGAAACGAACATATTAGTTAGTTTCTTTTTAAAATAAGATATATATTCAAGTATAGATCAGATATATAATGCAAACATCAGCCAAATTTATCTTCCGGTTAGTTTGAGTACGGGTTTTTGACGGGTTATAGCATTACTCATTGACATTGCTTTCTAGTATCTGTAATCGGAATTCTTTTTAATTTTGTTGTGCGCAAATTTTAATTCATTCTCATTCAATTAATTAATTATATTGAAAAAAAACGTTGAACATGTATACTTATTGCAAGTACATGATTTTTGCCTGACTCGAAGTCGCAGCCTTGAGCACGTTTTTGCAAGTTTGTTATATCACGTGTATATATGCTAGATGAATTTTATACAGAAGAAATGCTTCCATTCTTCGTCATCTATAGGCATTTTAAGTAACGTACATTGGAAATCACAGACTCTTGTGAATGGTTTAGTACTTACACTTGGAAAATTGACTTTTGTTTTGTGACTCAGTGTTTCATAGTCAACAATTTTGTTTTCTTATCAAACATTTATAAACAATATAATCATTCTTGATATGAAAAAAAGAAGACTTGTGTTGAAAGCTACATACTTTTAATAGATTACTCTTAGTGTATCTTTATACGAAATCAATTTGTTCTAAATGAATTGACATAGATAAATATACTGTATGCGCATTATGTATATTCTCCAAATGCGTTGTGACTTACGAAAAATATGTGTTTTGACATATTCAGAACATGAACCATATGATTATGCATTCAACCTTGAACCTTTGATAAATACAACTTGAATATAAATAACAGATATAAACAAAATATTGAAGAATACACTTTTTCAAATTAAAAATCATTGTTAAACATCACATTTAGTTCATGACTGTTTCAAAATATATTATTCTTATACATATCTCTATAGTGCTCGAATGAAAATTGTTAACAAGAATGTTTTTATGAGACATTGCTAACTACCTTTTGTTAATCGTTTGAAATATTAAACCACCTTTCTTAAGACATTAAGCCTTATTTAAATCTTGTTAAATAAATGAATACATTTGGCTTGTATTCAAAACCACATAATTTAATCCACTCAACATTTATTATAAATGATACTTTGTACTTTGAAATCGTCGTTTTATCTATTTTTGAAAAAGCGCGACAAAAAGACAAACCAATAATTTTGTATCTTCAATCCCTTTTTTGTCTTTCAATGCTGTTGTTACGTATTTTCGGTATATTTTAATAATTGATTGACCATATACATTAATTTATTCTACAAAGATAGACACGTTATGTACTGAATTAAAAAGAAACTATAATTAAAATAATCAAATTTATTTTGCGTACATGCAATAAAGCGATACTTATAGATACTAATTAAATAATCATCGTAGAAAATGAAAACCGCATTGCATTAGAATGTTAAATCACACACGGGCACGTTTGATATGGTTGCATAGATAAACATGAAAACTGATATATAAGTCAGAATATTAGTTTTCCTTGCATGAACGTACCATGTCATGCCTCCAGATGAGTCAAAATATTTCAATAAAAGCAAACATGAGAAAAATGTACTAAGATGTAAGGAAAAGTAAAAAAGTTTCAAGATTCATATTTTAGATATAATGTGCGATTAATGACTGATTTTTCAGTATTAACAACTATATTTCTACAGCGTTACTGACGCAGTTAAGGCTATTTATGCATATTTTGACCACTTTTGGTAATTTACATCGTTTGTAAGTGCCATTGAAAATGTGTTAATTGCGTCCTTTTGGTTACTTTACAATATTACACATTCAAATACATTTTCAAAATTTTCATAAAAATTAGCATTAATCTGGAAGTGTGCTGCTTTAAGACAATGTGGTCAATAAATCTAGTTTATGCAAGTTTCTATAGAGTCACAGATGATGGTTTTACCTTATTAGAGAACCAAAAGTATGAGTGTGAACACAAGCTTTGAGAGTGATATAATCCACAAGAACATCATACACAACCACTTCTATTTTCATGAAGACGTATGCAGTACATTTGCTTTAATTAGACATATTAAAGATTTCATCATCATTCCGTCAGGCTAAATCGTTCTTATTTACGAATTTAATTTATTACCTGGATAAAATTCAACAATTTGTCTAAAAAACAAAAAACAAAAAGAAAAAAAAAAAACATTGAAAATGAAATAACTCTCAAACAATATTATACCAGCTAAGGAAGCAATCTATTTTCATGAAAAAAGAAATGGATATAAAAAGATATAAAGATATATAGCAACCGTAAACATCACTTAATCCTTATTTTGTTGCTAAAGTGTGTACATTCCAGATTTAAAGGATCAAAGAGAGTTCTTCTTGGTCAATAATTATGGATCAACAATGTATTATTACATGTAATCTTTGAAACCTTAATTAAAATAAATGAGGTCATGAGAACAACGTGTGTAGGTCATATATGCAAAGGTCGCAGTGCATATGAAACCTAGGGCTTACAAAGAATAGACAGACAAGGCCAAACAAAAAAGACAAAATACATGTAGTTGAAAAAAGTCAAGATCATCTACGAATACCTATGAAACTGTTTTCTTATCTAAGTTTAGATGTATGGTATTAGTTAATGGTCGGTGCTGGATTGATGTTATCAATTCATGGGAAGTATTCATTTATTTTCATTAATTATTTAGCAGGGAAGCTATCTAGAATTAGTCTGTACAACTTGTAAACACGCAATGCCGAGAAGGACCACTACAGAATTGTAGTTCATTCTGTATCTGTTGGTTACAAAAGCAGCGTGCAAAAAGTATTTAAAATGACACATTTTGGAACAAAAATACGAAACACTGGCATATTATACATGTATATTTATTGGCTATACCATTGCACACATCTCGGGAACAATTTCTGTTTAGTTCTACTTTCAATATATATATATTTGCACGACGATGTATTATGTACATGTCTCAAATAAATCATTCGGTTGTCAGAAATGAACTGACATTTTGATAGGGAGAGAAACACAGAACAGATACATGTTGTTCTTTTTTGGATAGTTAAAAATAATTAAAAAAAAGAATAGTGTCAACTGTCATTACTTTGCTGTTGAATATATACTTGTCTTAAGACGAAACCTTATTCACTGTTATCTAATATCGGAACAGTTTCATCAATACATCTACTTATAACGTAACAGGCAACAACATTTTTAATACGATAAGGAAAACAAATATTGGTATGATAAAGCAATTTCGGACAACTTTGCTGTAAGCAGTAATGTAACGTTTTAATAGGGTTTATCGACTAACATATAAAGCTATTACATGTTTAAAAGTGGACATTATAGTATTTTAAGTGTCTTCGTCACATATACTAGCATACAATTATTTACGAGGGACGGTCAGAAAATATCCGGACTTTTGACTCGTTCTCGAAAACCATTCAACATTTAAAAAAAAATCTTTCTACTCTTTTTCTAAAAATATATCCACCTACGTCTACGCATTTTTGCCATCTTCGTGGAAGCTTTTGTATTCCCGCTGTGAACCATGACGTAGACCTATGTTTTAGGTACCGTGTAACAGCATATATCAAAGCTGCCCTGGTCTTGTATTTCTTTCCAGCAAGCAATTTTTTCAGTTCTGGAAACAAATAAAAGTCACAAGGGGCAAGGTCTGGGCTATAAGGAGGGTGAGACAACAATTGCCATTTGTAAGAGTGGATAACTTCCACTGTAGCTGCGGCGGTATGGGAGGGGGCTTTATCGTGAAGGAGTACATTTTTCTGTGCTAACCTGGGACGCATTTGCTTCAGCTTTTCTCTGAGATTTTTCAAAATTACTTCAGAATAGTACTTGGAGGTGACAGTTTGACCTTTTGGTATGAATTGAGTAAGTATCATTCCTCGTGAATCCCAAAAGGCAACAAGCATGACTTTGCCAGTCGAAGGAGACAGCTTAAACTTTTTAGGAGGTGGGGAACCAGCTCGATTCCACTGCTTTGACTGAGCTTTTGTCTCAGGTTCGGAATAATGAACCCACATCTCATCTCCAGTGATAATGCGGTTCAAAAACTTATCTCCTTTACGATTAATACGACTTAAATGTTCTTTTGCATTGGTTAATCTGGTTGCCTTTTGATCTGCGGACAGCTGTCTAGGCACCCACCTGGCACTTACCTTGCTCATGCCTAGGTGTTCGTGTAAAATCTTGTGTGCCGATGCCTTACAGATGCTAAACGTGTTGGCTACCTCCTCCAAAGTTACTCGACGATTTTTGTTGACAACAGCTTTAACATTTGCTACCATTGTTGGGGTCACCGCCTCACTTGTTCTGCCTTCACGAAACTGAGAAACCCAGTTGTAGAACGTTGAACGTGATACACATTTATCTAAGCCTGTGAAAGATGTGGCAGGGCTTTTCACCTTCTGCAACCAGAAACTTTATTACAGAGCGTTGTTCCTCTAACAAAGAGTCCATGATAGACGAAACACCTATCATATATCAGAGGGCAAAATACTGTGTATACACAACTATCATTGAAAATAAACTGACCACGTTATTGGCGAATGAATGTAGTTTTCACCAATATATAATGTGTGTATATAGCTACAAGTGGAAAGAGAGGAGCATGAAAAGTCCGGATATTTTCTGACCGTCCCTCGTATACCACACTTTATTTCAGTACAAACATTAGATATGTTGCCTTAAACGTTGTTACAGCGTTAATGTGTCCGATCTCTTTGTTACACATATTTATATTTGGTAAGTCACAATGGTAAGTCCTTATATCGCTATGAAGATTAACTGTAAGTTGCCATGGGAAAAGCTATGTAGAATTTGTATCATAGTTTGGAGACCTTTCTGTTGAAAATGTGTCAGGGTTAAATCGTATACATATACATGCACAGTGCGTTAACTGGAGTGCGGGTATTAGTTACCCGCACTCCAGAGCATGCCCATTGATTGGCTTATTTTTGCTGGGGTTTACATATTGTGACGGCAGATAAAGGGAAAGCGACAGAAATGTCTAATTCAGATGATCGTTCATTGGTTCATTTTTGCCGGGGTTTCAAATTGTGACATCAGGGAACGTGCTTTTATGTTTGACTATGATACAAAAGAGAAAGAACACCAAAACACTCGGCAATCTGATTAATACTCGGGGGCTACGCCCCTCGTACAAATCAGATAGCATCGTGTTTCGGTGCTCTTTCTATTACATATATCGCCGCTGTACACTGATTGAGGAAACGTCTCAAATAACACAATAGTGTACAATAGTGTAGGCAAATAAAAACACATGTTAGTACATGGTTAAAATATTTTTTTCTGTGCATGTGAGGGGTACAGGAATAATCTGTGTAACTCAGTTTTATTTTTAAATATAAACATATGGACCTGATAAAACTTCCGTAATAATAAAAAAACAACAAACACATTAGAAGACAAACTCTTTAAAGTTTGTTTGTATAACTATAATTTAAAAAAATCTAAAATATTTACAGTCATCGTGATATTTAACTATTGCCAGAATATTTGCTTTGTTTTTATTTATAGATAATTGTGTTGGATAAATTCAGCAAAGATTATTTTTTTCATCATCTGAATTAAAAACGGGTGTTTAATATGCCTCTGTCTGTGTATTATACATCTTTATAAAGCGTCTCGTCGGTTGGTCGCAGTGGTTTGTTACAGCCGTCCTGAATACAGCAAAATGTACAGTCAAACTCGAGTGTGACAATCTGACGTTCGTCATATCGACGACATTTGTCAACATCAGAAGATCCGAGAAACCAATTACGGTAGCAGTTCTGGAAATTATCGCACCTACAATTAAGAAGAGTGGTTAAAACGTGGATAAAGAATGTATAATAGTCACATCTTTAGTAAATATAAACGAAATCATACAAAAAAATGAAAGGCTGTTCTCATTTCTATACTAGACTTGTGGTCAAGGTTAACTAGGGAACAAGGCAGAGGTTATTTTTATCAGTCTTATTTATAGGGCATTGGAAATCATTTCCTTGCACAGCATAAGCTATTATAATATACTGAGATATTGGGTAAAGTTGTTTGCATTAGATTACAAACACTTTGTAGGAAAGGTACATTCAATGCAGATAAATGATTTGAGTAATCAATTCAACAAGAAAAAAAGATTCATTATTAACATATTTATTAATCATGGCTTTCAGAATATTAACATCAACGACAACAACAACAGCAACAGCAGCAGCAATTACACCCACCCATTTTTGCGAATTTTGCTTAACCGAATAAATATTTTAGTATAGTAATATTTTATAGATATACTTCAAACCATAGATTCTTACTACATTTACATATCTTGGTCACGTGACGATACAGTGTATTGGATTTTCAAGGAAGACTGCATAAACAAACTTTGTGACATACCTTCGATTTACAGATCTCGTGCCATTTAAATAATTTCTTACTGTATTTAAACAGTAATTATTTGGGTAGACGCAATCCTGGTCAGTATAAAGCTTCTCGCATAGAAAATCTGGTCCACTGCATACTTTACATCTGATACCTAAATTAGATAGATCTGTTAGAAACGTTTGTCAATGAACGATTGCATTATTCGTATACATAGATGAATCAGCTCGTGTAATTGTAAATAGATAAAATATATGTTATTTCTTTCAAAGATATTTAAAACATACATTGTATTGCATAATATGAAGATGTGTTGGTTTTTATATAGGAAAATAATTTTTTACTTTACTTGCACGCTACCAATTGATAATGTATATTTTCAGGGACCAACCACCAAAACTAAGCTAAACAATCCTTACTAGTTCTTACTGAATCCTTATTAATCGTAAAAATACCAATACTTACTTTTTGAAGGTGATATAGTGAAGGGAGATTTTTTGGTTGAAGATTTTATAGACTTCTGCGTTGTAGATTTTGACAGTTCAGATATTGAAGTAGAGACAAAAATTGAAGGTGACGTCTTAACACTTGTATTAGACCCATTGGGGTATGGTTTGGTAATGTTGAATGTCAACGGCGATATTGATCTATTCGCATTTGAAATATTTGGAAACGTTGAAGTGTTATAAATTTGAGTAGATGTATTTCTAATGCCTGGTGTTGTTTGATTGGATGCTACAGAGGCATAAATCGAAGATCTGGTCGTGTGACCAGTTGGCACTTCTGACGAAATAGATAACAATGCTGTAGACATAGATTGTTCTATTGAATGACCAGGTGTGGTTTCTGATGAAGAAGATGGGTTCAACGATTGGCCTTCTGATGTTTTTTCTGCAAAGTTGAACAAATGGTACTGTTGATCAAAATAGTTTTATACAACTTTCGTGCGCTCTATATTATGAAAGGAAAATTAAATACTATTTTAAACAAATTATTTGTCATGAATCAATGCAGTTTAAACTCAATAAGCACAACTTTCAAATCTAACTGATCATTAAATACTCGTTTAAATACAAATATAAACATTTATAATAAACTTCATTATTCCACTAAGAAGTTACACACACTACTAGAAAAGAACATTGTGTTTTAGATATACTAGTAATATATGTTTACCGTCAAACCAATCCAAATGGTTCGGAATATTATCTGTATTACAAGGTGGAGAATTTCTTGTTGCTTGGCAACAGTAGTGACATGTCATGTAGTTCTTACTTTTTATAGCATTGGTCGGGTCGCATTCACTGTTCCTCATTGAGTGGTCATATTTACATTCAAATATTGTTGAACAGCTTAAAGAAATCAAAAGAGGCTCTATGATACAAATATGTTCAATAACATTGGATACATATATCCTCGTAGATTTGATAAATGAAGTGTCTATTATTGTTTCTGTTGAAAAACACAATATTTCAAAGTAAATACTGATGACTTATTATTTCCAACCAAACATTTTAGACAATAAGTTTAATCTTGAAAGCAAAGGGCATTACGAACAAATAAACAAACAAACAAACAAACAGACAAACCTCTTTTTGATGATTTTCTGTAACCCATTGTCAAAACTGATTACATTTTCACAGTAGTTATCACTAGTTTTACAAGTTTCTATTTTACAATTGGTGCTATTTATACATGTTTCACAAGTTAATTCCGCATATTGAAGCGTGTTTCGAGGACTTGAAGAGGTTGATGATAAAAAACTTGGAGAGGTTGTTGATAATCTAGAGCTTGAAGATATTGTAGATGACTGAGAACTTGAGAAGGATGTAGATGATGTTACTGAAAAATAGATATGTGTTGTAGAGAAAAACAATCATGGTTTTAATTATAAAACGTGAACCACAATAAAATTCATCTCATAAAATAAACAGAAAAAATAAGATAAACAAAAGCGAAAATCACAATTAGAATATAACTTAATTTGTTAACTGTCTAAATATTCGAGATTTTCTAGAATATTTCGTAAACTGAGAAATCTCGCTTTATTTTGCTAAGATTTTAGATGTTCTTTCTTACTTTAAATCTGTAATATCAGTTATATGAGCTAGTTTTAAACCAAAAGCCACACTAAACATATTCAAAATAATTTCTTTTTTTTTTCAAAATATTGTACAATGTATATTTGAACATTTTGTTTACAATAAGAACTTATTCAGAACAAGTTGTTTGATAAACAGTAATTTTGATTTATAAATCAAATTGTAAACTGTCAATAATATAACAATACAATTACATAACTAATAATGGCAGTCAGCAGCGCTGCCTAATTGCACTATAGCAGAAATAAATGGCAAGATGAGGCACTCCATACATAGCACGGTAATGTATTTATTGATGTCAGTCGACGGTAATCCTGACAGCCAGTCTATAGAATTGTGTTACCTTTTACATCATACAAAATATTCATTTCATATTATACATGTACGAATATTTTTGAAATAAAAGTCATATACATTGTAATATAAAAAGTACCGGTGTTATTTAATGCTTTACCAGCATTTTGGCTATATGTATGGTTGATGATAGTTTCCAGGTTCTTTAAACATGCTATCGATGAAACGTCGTTATAAGACTCGCAACAGTAACGACAAACTGTACCATCTACCATGTCACTTTTCTTCAATGAGTCACATCTGTTATTTTTCGCGTCATCAATACTTGTTACATTATTAAGGCATGAAGTTTTGTTTTCGCACCTGAAGTAACATTTTATTGCAGAAATAATTGTCATTACACATGGAAAGAGCAAATTGCGTGATATGAAGACTTCGTTATCGGACAGTGAGATTTTTTAAGATGTCCTATTGGACTCATACTGACAAAGTTGTTAAGAATAATCATTTTATTACAATATTGTTTATAAGACTTAAATGGGCCTTCTGGTAGATCAATATGTAATTAAGACGGACCGAGAAGGTCCGGAATTCCCATTATTTTCATAACGGCAAATGTTGTCTTTGTAACAACGTATGTTTTTTATTGATGTAACATTACACTAAAGATAAATTAGGCCAGTTTTTAAAATTGACAGTGGGAACCCTAAAATCACTGTTACAACTTTTAAAGGATGCCAAATAATCTAAGGGATTACAGAATATTTTGATTACTTTAGATCCGATTACGGAATTCATCTACTGTGAACATACTACATGTACTCTGAAGGTTATCAAGCCTCTCAGATTTTGGTTCAAATAAGGATTATAATGACTTACCTGGATAAAAGGTAAAATTTGCCTATAATGAGAGTTACCGTTACTGAACACATTTCATATGTACAGTGCTCGGAATCGTCTCTCTGGATACCACTTCTACACCGTTCATAACACGATGTACCATTACCCAAATCATCGCAATTACAACATCCTGGGAAAAAAGATTATGTGTTCCGATATTATGTTTAAAGTCAAAATTGAATTATATTTTTCTAAATACTGTTCTATTTCAAGTCTTATAAAGTGACATCTCCGTTGGAATTTAACTTTACATACTTTATTCTTTGGTTGGGTTTAACACAGTATAGGTCATTTCCAGCTTTACTGGTAGAGGAAGACCTCAGGTGCCTTTATCTACATCATTTCAGGCACAAACGGGCACCTGCGTAGAACCACCTACATTCCGCGGGATGTATAGCTTTCTTACATGAAACATCCCAAGCTGGCGCAACTCAAACATACAGCGGTGAGAGGCACGTGTTTAGAAGTCTCTGACCTTAAACTTTACATACAGAGTAAGTTTTTTCTCCAATAATTTCTAACAATTATCAAGCTATAAACACTGTGTCTGTTAGATGATGTAAATTCATACTTGAATTGGAAAACAATACAGTTTTCACTCAAATCAATGTTGGACTATATTATTATTTACAGGGTAATTAGATAAACTTGTACACTAGGATAAGAAAAATAAAGGATTTGTAGAGTCTGCAAGTGGGATATCGTTCACTTGCAACAAATAAGTGAACAAGGTAGACAAAGAGCTTAATTAATAATAAGTGATCAAGGTAGGCAAGGAGCTTTTAATATCATTTTGAAAAATATACAAACATATCAATCACAAAATATCTATTCAATCTTCTATACTTGAGGAATGACTTTTTTGTAATAGAAAATATATTTTCAAAAATGGATGATAGAGGTCAATATGAATTGCTATAAAGAAATGTTATAATTCTATAAATAATTGCGGGTATGTTAACAGTGTTTAGTATTAAACATGACATACTAATACATAGATGTTGTTGGTAATTATGAGATACATGGTCCGATATTACATATCTTTATATTGACGATCATAAATTTTCTAGTCTGAACGAAATATCATTATTCATCATATAAATGTTATTTCTAAATCCTTTATAATTCTATCAACATTTTCATTACAAAAATATATTATAAGAATATTCAAATGGTACAATCATATTGTTTTTATCAATATTTGAAATACTTATGAAAAATGTGCCCATTGTATACCAATCCACTTCAACGCCCCGAAAGTGTTTAATTGTCGGATAATGGCAACGCGACTTTTAATTGCATGTGATGAGTTGAACAACAACAACTCTTTAAACTACTGGGAAGCCTTTTCCTTCAACTTTTGTTTTGTATCTAATAATTTCTTTCATTATAAACATTGGTCATATAGCTGTGGCGAAAGTTTAGACATGGAAAGGGACAACATACACAGCTTCTTAACTCTTGAAGTATGTTCTTATCATACGATGTGTTAACCTTTCATACTTACATTGAAAGCTAAAAAAACATAGATAACTATTCACATACGAGATATATTTCCATTATGGGTGTCAGGTTGATATCGATTGAATAAGAATCGCTTCGTACGGCTTCTTTGTTTTGAATGTTCATGAAAGTCCACTGCAATGACAAATGTGCCTGAAAAAATCACATGGTTGCTTTCAATTTGTTTGTACAATATTATCAAAAATGGACAGTTCTACTGGCAATGAGACAGACTAGCATCAACAAGGCTTTCTTTTTAAACGACATTTTAGTATTGAATCAAGTACTTGACATATTCGACAAAGAAAATGTTAAAACGAAAAAAGTACAACCTCATCACCTTCCCTCTGACATTTTGCTTTTTAATATTTAACAACTGCACTATATTGCGTTAAAATGAATGAAAAGTTCCTTTAGAACAAAATGCAATTGTGTAGGCACTTATACGCCAGATAACTAGTATCTTTTTCACATTGAATTCACGTAATTAATGAATCACATATTCAAGCAAAAGAAGTTATCTTTGTTTGTTTGTTTGTTTGTTTCATTTTACGCCTTTCAACAGTATTTCAGTCATATAGGCGGGTAGTTTCCTAACCATCGTTCCTGGAGAGTTACACCAGTACTAAACTACCTTCCTCCGCGCTAAACTACCAAAGCATCTCCCGGGGATCGAACCCACGCCAGAGAGGTAACTGGATTAGAAGTCATCGACTCTAACCCCTCGACCACGGAAGAAGTTATCTGAGCAACAAAATTAAATTTATGTATCATTGTTCAGTATATGATACTAACATCATTATTTTTGAAGATTATATAGACTGAGGTTATTTTACGGTTTGGAGCATGGAACCAAATCGCTTGGCGGGAGGTAAATTTCAAACACTGATTCATACAAGACCATAATGATCTCTCTTAATTAGCAATGCAGCAATATTCCAAAATATAAGAAGAAAAATGAAAATCCTATATTAATTGACAACATCTGTCTATATAAAAGTTACGATTGTTCAATGACAACTGACATTACAAACGTGCAGTATTATAATTAATCTAGAAAAACAACCTATCACAAGTAATCCAAGCAGCTGAAATCCATTCATTGTTAAAATTAAATAAAATTATTTATTTTCACTAAAATTCACACTGACATGTGATTAGTTCTAAAATATGTAAACTTTATATACATGCATCTAAATTATCATATTGTATGTAACTTTACATGATAACTAGAGATAAAATAACTCACTAGTGCAGATGACCTTTTAATATCACTGTAATCAATATCAACACATACATATACATGTATGATAAGTGCTTCAAATGTCGAACGTAATCAACTGATCTGAAATTAGCAAAAACATAATGAATCCATTAAAATTGTCCAATTTAAGGTAAATTTGTATAAACTCGAAGTCGCTCTCTGCGAAAAACCGGTAGTGCAATTTCAACTTCATGATTTCCTGACTTTACCTTCAAGAATTCACATTTTTAACTTCGTGAATTCACGTTTTCAACATACGGAATTCACGAATTCACGATTTCAGCTTCATGAATTCGCGATTTCAACTTCACGAATTCACGATTTCAACTTCATGAATTCACGATTTCAACTTCATGAATTCAACTTCGTGAATTCACGATTTCAACTACGAATTCACGATTTCAACTTCACGAATTCACGATTTCAACTTCATGAATTCACCATTTTATCTTCATGAATTCACGATTACAACTTCGCGGATTCACGATTTCAACTTCACTAATTCACGATTTCAACTTCATGAATTCAACTTTGTGAATTTACGATTTCAACTTCACGAATTCATGATTTCATCTTCATGAATTCACGATTTCAACTTCACGAATTCACGATTTCAACTTCATGAACTTGCGATTTCAACTTCACGAATTCACTATTTCAACTTGACGAATTAACGATTTCGACTTCAACGTATATGCCATGTGGCCGTGACGTCGTCATTTGCTGCCATATTGAATGGGTAATGAAATTGCGTAAAAAAATGGTTAGTGCTCTTTTACTTATATCAGTTTTAATTACATTATTATTTTCATTTTAAATCCTTTAAAGTATTTGTAGGAAAATAAATCATATCAGTTTGTGTAAAAGAAAATATAATATAATGGTGATCTATGACACAATTCGGCAATATCCTGAATTAGACCCCGGGTCTAACCCAAAGCTTTATATTTTAAAATACTGTATAAAATATATATCAGGGTTCAATCTATGTGCATCTGTTTGTCAGAATTGGATTTTTCGTGTTCAAGATATAATATTTTAAATAATTGTATTTTTTTTCATCTAATTGCAGATGCTGGTGTTATCTTTCATCATTATTTCTATGGCCTTTTCTTGCATTGGCAACAGGAGAACGTATTGTGAATAAAGAAGCGATGATGGATTTGATAGTTCAGTATTTCTCGGTGGGATATGAATACTAAATACAAAGAGATATTAGCTAGCCTTCTGTTGATTCATGGAATGAAAGTTAGATATTGTCACATAAAAATCATAAAGAGAATAAATTTATATAGGCGAACGATAAGATCGAATAATGAAGATATTTTTCTTGCAATTCTTAGAGAACTATCTGGGAGTGGTAAATGTTTTTGTTATAAAGATGTAAAAGACTTAAACTTAAATATGGCCTGAATGCACATCGGTCAAAAGTGATAAGATTCATATGGATAGCAGATCAAAATGGCAAGAAAAAAAGCAAGCGGCTTCTTCGGAGGAAGTATTCGTGTCCTTGTCCAAACTCCGTTTGGCACATCGATGTATACGATAAACTAAAACATTTTGGGTTTGCAATTCATGGGGCCAGATACAGTCGTAAAATTCTGTGGCTTGAAGTTGAAACAAGTAATAATGACCCAAAGGCTATTGCAAAATAATACTTGGACACCATAACCAGCTTAGAAGAGTGGAATATACGGACGGCCATGCAGCGGACTGAAGTTTTATCGTTAGAAAAAGCACGTCTAATCAACGGATCGAATCATTGTGGAGTATGCTTCGACGTCAATGCGTAGACTTCTTTATAAATTTGTTAAAATCATACAGACTTACACAATAATGGAAATATTTTTCAAAAACAGTGTTTGCTTTATTGTATTCAAGTAATTTGAACAGATAGGGTTGCCTTCCAGAGTTCATGAAGTTGTTTGATCTGATAACTTCAATTGAAAGAGAAGTTTGGAGTTCAGAGGATGCCTTTAATCCGTATATGTATATTTCATCGTAATAGAATAATTGTTCATTACGTTGCTTGTATGAAACTTTTCTTTATAAATTCATTAATTCGGTTTATATTATATAATCAATTTTAACATTTTCAGAAATTTGACTTTTGCGTCTTGCCAATTTGTTTTTTTAATTAAGAAGCATGAAATTGAAGACGTTAACTAATTACATGTATTACCTGGGTAAATGGTTTTTATTTTCTTTAAAGTTGATTGGTCTACAATTGGTAAATTTTCCAGTAAATGTATCAATGTTGATATAGACACCAAAATTAAAAAATATGCAAGAGCCTGTTCTTGAACGATAAAAGAAAATGCAAGTGTTTATGCTCCCGAAGGGCGCATATTAAAATCGCATATTCTGTCTGTCTATGCGTCCCTCCTATATTCCTGTCCGATCTGTAACCCTGTTTTACATTGAGGGATTTTGAAATAACTTGGCACAAATGTCTTCCACATTAAGATGATGTGTCGCGTCTAAGAATCACGACCCTACCGTAAAGGTCAATGTCACGCTAACATTTTGAAATTTCGCATTATCACAATTAGATTGGTACATGTACACACATAAGTGTCCGGACTGTAACTTTGTCATGCATAAAAGGATTTTAAAAATAACAAGGCATGAATGTCTACCACATCAAGGCGATGTGTTGCGTCCAAGAATAGCGTCCCATTCTCAACGGTCAAGGTCACATTTTGTAGTTTCACATAATCACAATTAGAGTTAATAAGTACACACAATCATGTCCGGTCTGTATCTTTGTCTTACATTGAGGGATTTTGAAATAACTTGGCACAAATGTCTACCGCATCCATCAAGACGATGGGTCGCGTCTGAGAATCACGCCCCTACCTGTAAGGTTAATGTCACACTAACATTTTGAAGTTTCACTTTATCACAATTAGTGTTTTAAGGTACACACATCAGTGTCTGGACTTTACATTTGCGATGCATCTAAGGATTTTAAAGTAACTAGGCACAAATGTTTACCACACCAAGACGACATGTAGCGACTAAGACCCGTGTCCCTACCTTCAAGGTCAAGGCCACACTTATAGTCAAATAGTTTGACTGTATTCATTTTCTCGAGGAGAGTTTGCAGATAAACATTCAAGTCCGACTGTAACTTTATCCTGCATTGTAGAATTTTAAAATAACTTAGCACAAATGTTAACCACATCAAGACGATGTGTTACTTCTAAGGCTCATGTCCGTTTGTGCGTCCCTTCCCCACGTTCACAACAATACAACAATCATGTTCAGACTGTAATTTTTTCATGTTCTAAGGGATTTTGACATACTTTGGGCACAAATGTTTAGCACATTACAACGTTGTGACGCGTCCAAGAACCAGGTCACTTCTTCAAAGGGCAAGGTCACACTTATATTTTGAAGGTTCGCGCTATCACAATTAGAGATTATAGGTACACACATTCTTATCATTCCTTCAGGATTTTTTCACAATTTCTTCAATTACGTAATGGATACAGTAAGAGTTTTCCTCCGAAAATGTTTTCTTACAAACGTAAGACAGTTTTCTAGGATAAACAACAAATTGTTCGAGGCGAAGCCGTTGATAAATTGCTTTTCTAAGCAAACCGCCTACTTCTTCTTCATATCTGTAAAGACACTTTTATAGAAAAGGAACCGACTTATACGACGATTTAGTGTAATGAACAGATAAATTAATAAATACATTAACTGATAACTATATTTCAATCGGACAAAATGGACTTTCATTCATTAACAAACAACGTTATATGCATGCAGTCAAAAGAGAGTCATATTTACTGAAATTGATTATGTCGATCTACATGTATTGCGTCAATCTTATATGGATAAATGTTGTGGACCACTTAGTTGTTAAGTTTTCTTATTTACATTCTTAACACAATGGCCGTTGACGTTTTATATCTATTTTTCAGTGGTGAAGCGGGGGGGGGGTGGTGGGGGCGGGGGGGGGGTGCAGGGCGGGGGCGACAGTATATGTCATATAATTGTTGTTTTATCCTGAGAGAATAACAGAGGTAAACAAGCTTCCTCCAACAAACAATTGTTTCGTCGATAGTCAACAGTAGCTTTGTTCCGGGAAATGGCCATCAAATTTTTTTATTTAATTCTATTTTCGATAAACTAAAACTCCCGAATTACGCTATTAAGCTCGCTACAAATTTCAATCCGTTTCTATGGTGTCCTGTTTGAGGCAGTTATAATATCGCCTGTCAAGTATTAGGATTATCTAAATCTCTTGTAATTGGTCGACTAGAAGACCAGGTAGCGTTTTTGTACGCACTCAGGCGTCACTGTAGACGTCACATTTGGTTAAGTATTTGCGTCCAAATTGGTTTCTCTAAAACTACTAAGAGGAGAATTGAAACGTAATTGGTAGCATGATGTGTTATATCCAAGACCCGTTACTCTAAAATGGATTTTCAAAGAACTATGGTCCTATTTGGCCTTAGAAAATTCCGCATTATCCAGACTCTTATTTTTTCCTACCAAGCACTTAGAAAAGTCGAGTGCTCTTGTTAATAGCTAATAAGAAGCTACATATGATACATTCTCTTTAAAAAAACATTTATTGTAGTCAATATTGCTGTAAACAAGAAACATACGAGAATAAACGTTTATTATCGCGAATGTTTTAACATTTTGATTCTCACAAGGATTTAGTTAAGCATGCAACAACTTTAAAGTTGAATGGCGCCAAAACTTTCATTCGAGAATGCAAAAATCTCGCTATTTTTATCTATAAAATATAGAAGGGCACAAGGCTTCCGTAGAAAACTTTTTTGCATTACAATCGATGTCATATAACTGGCACAAAACAGGACACTGTATGATGCAGCTGCGCTAAATCTACATGGAAGGTAACAGTTATTCACAGACGTAAGAAGACAATTTTTGAATAGTT